GGGGGGGGGGGGGGGGGTGGGGGGGGGGGGGGGGGTATCTCATAGACGTACCGCCCCGGATGGCAAACTCCTCACAACACGGCAATCAAATGAAGTTCCTGTTGACGTTTATCGATCCATGAACTTCCGAAAAACAACAATACAATAGCACGACAAAAGAATCTTTACTGCCACACCCAGGAGAGAGAGACACACAAGATTTCGTGTCATAATACACAAAGGCTTTGTAAAACACTGCCGTGATAACAATTCTAATTCTTAAAATTAGGTCAATGCTGTGAGAAAAAACCAATCACGATATTACATGCACAAGCTTCCTGTAATATGCAGTTCCCTCTGATGGCCAAACTAATATGTTCTGTCTCTTTTATTTTTAATAGAACTTCTTCAAATTCACGTGCTTATTGTTTTTCTCAAAACCCACCTTTGTAAATTAATTATTAATACAACTACTTTCCGAGAAAGACTCGCATTAACTCGCTAAAATTCATGCATCAGAGTTATCGAGCAAGATTTGTTTGTTTGTTTATTTGAAGTTAAGTACAAAGCTACACGATGGGCTATCTGTGCTCTGCCCATCACGAGTATAGAAACCCGATTTCTAGCGTTGTAAGTCCGCAGACATACTGTTGTGCCACTAGGGGGGGCTATCGAGTAAGAATCAACGATGTACAACTGAACATAGTATAGACTAATACAATGCCCATAATATCTGCAAGCCGAGTTTTTGTTGTGTATGACTGACAGTAATTTACGTATTTGCGTTGGCTATTGCTTGTTTGCAAATGGCAGGTATTTAGGTTTGAAGACATGTGGTGTTCGGAAATTAAGAATTCCCCTTCGCTCCGCACGCGGTTTGGAGGGTGTAGTTGAACGTTTTCTTGGAAATCATAGTACCCAACGAAATAAACGTAAAGAGATCCTAGGTTCCAACGCTGGTGACAGTGTGGAGATCAAAAGATCCTTACTCAAAAATGTTCTGTGTGGGAAGGAACGAGAGTACTTCGAGAATCCCATTATCACTAGTCGGACACCTAAAATTCTACCCGACTAGTACCCAAACTGAAACCCAAATTGGGAGAGAAAATCTCATCAGTACAAATGTATATGAATGAGCTCCAATAGTCTTTACTAACTTATTAATAAAAACCAAAGGAAAATAGACATGGTGTTTAGATGATGGAAAGAAACATCGTTGGTGTCATCACTCGGGAAACCTTCTATGCTGTGGTGCGTTGCAAATGGCTTATACTAAGAGATTAGACTACCATAATCATTTACAGCGGCCTTAAGCTTTCGCTTTAAAACCCCAATTTACACTTCACTGAGAGACTTCTCGATCAACGTCGTGGTCATAAACTTCAAGTTCCAGATCTGTGGGTGTACGGGCTTGGGTATACTTGGGGCGTAGTCTTGGTAGTGATATGACGATCTTTGCTCAGAGTAAATGTTTCGTTTCTCGGATGGTCTGCGCTCGGAAATTGTTTTTCAGCTCTGAAATGGGAGTGCTCCATGAAACATCCACATCAAAGTATTTGGTCAGTTGTCTGACCGGAATTAACAACTATTTTCATGAAATTGGTGTTTGTTTTTTCCTGTTATTCTGGGTGGTATTCTATGGAGTACGTGAACTTCTGTTGATGTACGTTGACTAAAACGCAATACTGGCGATATATTGTAACTACTCATACCCCCCCCCCCCTAACTCATTTTGCAGTTTATGTAACTAAAATATTTATCAAACTGACACGATTTGTTTCAATCTGTTCACTTTAACTAGTTTTAAACTAATGTAACTTTTAAGTTACAACTTATAATACATTTTATCTGTAGCAGATTTTGTGGTGTACAGATGTTAGTAAAGAAATTAAGATATAAAATAAATATTTGATATATAATATTTCCTTTACGATTGCTTTGTTTCTTTGTTGTTGGGCAAAAAGCTACACAATGAGCTATCCGTGTCGTGGGTACCACGGGTATCGAAACCTGGTTTTAAGCCCTCAGACTTACTGCTGAGCCACTGGTGGGCCCTATACGATTGCACAAATTTAGTTATGACATATGATATTATGTACACATGTACATACTTTTGATTTGCAACACTACAATTTTAAGCAACATGACCTTCGTATACCTGCACTTTATTTGCGATTTCGCCACTGGACAACCGATTCTTAAGTACCATATGAAACTAATACATCCATAACCTCAACTGCTACATCCGTTTTTATGCTGAAAATATACTGATGTTTCAAGCTAGTCAGGTAACAGTTTCTTCCGACGTCAGTGATGTTCATAGTATCGGGGAGGAGTTAATGGACAAATAAGAGTGGGTATATTCATGACGGTTGAGTTGTTGTTTTTTTCCTTATATTTTAGATACTACGAGTTTTTACTACCGTTTAATGTGTAAAAATATTTCATACAAAGTCTTTGTGAACTGAGTACGTTAACTAATATCAGAGAAAGACGAGTCCTATAAACGTAATTATTCTGACAAACATTTCCAATGAAAAAGTTATGAAAATTAAACATTTTTTTATTATTTCTTTAATAAATATTTGTGGGGGGGGAGTTTGGTGTGACATCATTGATGTCCAGTTTCTAGTTACGAGTGCGATGCTATATTATATCATATGTTAAAAAAGGTTTATTGTGGCCACAGTCGTTTCGAGACACTGCAGGTGCTCTCCCGCGCTCTGTGATATGACGTCATAGTTATTGATGAGAAGCTTTATTCGCGTGAGAAAGTACTACTTATTCAAAGAGCGTGGTATTAAAATAAAAACAGGGTATTGTTGGTAGTACCACATAGGATAAGGCATACACTTCCTTATTTTACATGTTAAATTATCGTGTATTATGTGTATTATTATCGTGTAGAGACTCAAGACTCGAGTCTCTACAACAGGCAGTTGACGTCCATTCTACAAAGTTTCATCATGGATATTATGCCAAAACAATCTA